CCCCAAAACCCCAAAACCCCAAAACCCCAAAACCCCAGGAGAAAGTATTAAATTGAAATTATGAAAATTGATGCTTACCTAGTACTTTTAGACATATTTTCTGCCAAGACTAGGGTTCTTAGGTCTCACTGTGGAGGAATTTCTTCTTGAGAGAAGCCCCATCTGCTGGAAAATGTTCTTATGTAGCTTTGATCTTTTCGCAAGTTGGGCTTTATCAGTCTATTCCAAGTTTAAATCTACAAAGCTTACCTCTGGAGCATCGTTTTTGATAGCAAAACTTGCACTATCGTTAAGAGCAAAGGCATTCTTATTATTTTGGAAGCTGAATTTACGAACTCCAGCTGGCTTATTCATTAGAGAAGTCATTGAGCTATAGTTCTTGTTCTTGTCGAGCTTCCAGCTGGGGATATTATTAATCCCCCAGTTATGCCCAATCTTTCTCAGGGCTGATGTTGTCTCTTTCCCTTTAAAGCCGATTCCAAATTGATTAGAGATCTTTTGGCAAGAGCTAGAATCTTTCCCTTTAGAAAGGAGGTTTTCTCTCCTCGCTTCGTGTTGAGAAATATGGTGCTTGGCAGTATCCAGGGTGCTGTATATTCCAGAGTATGCAGCAAGGTTGTTTCTCGATGAAAGTTTCTGTCTCTTCTCATAATTGGCTTTGTAAAAAGTCCCACTTGACTCACTATTTCTCTTAGTTTGAGGAGCTTTTGGAATTTTGTTCGAGAGCTTATTCTACAAATTTTGTTAGAATTTCAGTTAACTTTTAGGATTTTTAATGGAAATTACCTTTCTTTTAAAAGTAGTGATAGACTTTGAGTTAAAATCTAGCTTCAGAGTCATCTTATCAGCAATATCTTTGTTTTTGTACCTTATTTTTAACTTCTTCTTGTTGCTTGATCCACTCATCCCAATCTGAGTGGCTCTTCTGAGGGAGATTTTGTTGTCTAGAATATTAGAATCTGCTGATAAAGGATGTTTTCTGGCAAAAATCTTGGGACAAGAAGCAAGAAGTTGAGAAACTTATGTATGATTTACCTTCTCTATTGGTCTCAGCTTTATGGCTAATTACTGAGTTGTTGTTGCTACGCTTTTCCTTATTCTTATCACGGATATTCCAACTATGAATGTCTTTCTTACTTCTGATAGAGCTCTTTGTCGAACTCCTGTTACGATTGGAGGTCTCACTGGAGGTATATCTCGTGCGCACACTTCGATTTTCCTTCTTAGGCTTTGTTTTATGCACGGATGGAATTACCTTGGCAGGCTTGATTATGGTATGAGTCTGATTTGGGAAGGAAGCTTCGTAAAAACTGTATATTTCAATGTAGCATTTCTCAACATGCTTGAAGTTCATCATAAACAGTTTTGAGAATTCATCATTCCAGATTGGAGAGATATTTACGGACTTTCTTGCAGCCAGAATAATTGAGATTGCTAAGATAATGGACGAGTATTCATGGAAAGCTTGCTCTTGAAGACAGAGATCCACAAAGAACTCACAATATTTTCTGACATATCTAATGTTCTTTAAAGTCGGAGGTTTAGGCTGGGATCCAAATTTGTCTGCAAAAACTAGATCATCTGAATACACAATCCCTTGGTTGAGGAACAAACTAACAAAATCTGCAGGAGTTGTGAACATTAAATTCCAGCTAATCTTTCTCAATATTAGTCCTTCAAAGTAAAGGATCTCAGGTTCAGAGTACTCTCCTCTCGTAAGCATGGATATATTCCTAGCTGTGGGGCCTTTGGAATCTTTTTCTCAATATTTAGCACTGATGAAGATACTTGTGAGTGCAACTAGCTTCAGTAGCCTTTTGCCTTTATCATTCGACTTGACCTCTTCATGCTTACTGAAGTAATTATCCATTACTCATACAGCATGATGGATTGTAGTGTAAGATTGCTTGATGGTATCGCCTATTTCACACATCCAGTCTACTAAAACTCTTCTGTATTTTTGATAGCCTTCTTTAGTCATGCTTTCGTGATAATATTGGTTCGATAGCATACTGGAATATACTTCTTTGAGCTCAGTATCGGAGTGGCACTCACTACCAGGCTCTCTTATGACAATTATGTCGGCTTTTTGAAACCCTATTTAAGATATTAGATAAATGTCTGTTTTAGACAAATTTTTATAAATTTTGAGTAAAAATTCTTGTGGAATAACTATTATTTAGCCATTGTAACATGCTATCAAGACCAACAAGGAAAGTTTAAAATCAATATGAAACCATACCAGTTCTAACAATTTCCTCAGCAGATTTTGGATACTCATCAAGCTTCGCTGATCTTTTAGATGATCTTCTCAGCGTGAAATTGAGTAGATTCCCAGAGGATGGGTCTGATGAAGTATCAGTCTTCATTGTCACAGACATTTTTAATTTAAATTATTTACCGCTTTTAAAATTTTAAATTATCCTTTCTAGAGGTTACCAAAAGTGGGGTTTTGGGGTTTTGGGGTTTTGGGGTTTTGGGGTTTTGGGGTTTTGGGGTTTTGGGGTTTTGGGGTTTTGGGG